CTTAAATTAAATTAAACTAAATTCAATTAAAATTAAATTCAAAATAAAATAAAATAAAGCAAGTTAAAGTAGAGGATCTACATAGAACAAATTTGATACTTTCTTCGGTAATCTTTGATAGCTATTTGTTAGATTCCTACATTTCACAAATGAGTGAATATACAAATTTTACTAAGAACCTTTTTGAATATGTTTACTTAATTATTGCCTCCTATAAAGTGTGAAATTCAATACAGAGTGCACGCCAATGGTTCAGTTACTCACTTTTAACGAAATATATATGCGCATAGATACATACATGCATATAAAACACTCGCCAATGCAACCAATTATAGTATACATACAAGTACGATTGTATGTGCGTCAAACTAAATTTCAAAAATTGTTAAAAGGCAGTTGGCAGCTGGTAAATGGAAAATAGCAAATGTCAGCATAACCAACGCGCAATATATGCGCAGACAAAAGCACACGAGACAAGTCGTAGCCAGCTAATGCATGCAAAATCGAACGGAAAATGCAAAGTGGAAGCAAAAGGGGTCTAAACGACGGCGCACAGTCGCGGCACGGCAACCAGCAACAACGACTGACAATAACGAAATTAAAATGCATTGATTTTAACTGGTCGCGCGAAAAAGTCATTACAACGTCGAAACGAATGAATGACTTATTGAGTGAAATGTCTAAGTGAATAAATGAAATGAACAATTGAATGGCGTGGGTTGTCATATGGAAGAACGAGTACAAGGGGTAAACAGGTTCTAAAGCGTGTGGTAACCAGGAGATGAGTTTATGAGTTCGGGATTGACTTAATCGCAGGAAGATTGAATAAAAAGTATAGGACCCTATACCTACTATACACATTTTTTTTTCTACTTCAACTTTTTAAACTTTCTGATAAGCATGTTTTCAAAACCCGTCGCACAGTGATTCCAACCTAGAGTCTTCTGTTCGAAATAGTACACAACCCTATTTTTTCAACCGATTTGATTATTCTTATTTTTTTAATGAAAACTAATAAATCTAGAAGAGCTTTATCGATACCGAATGTTGAATTTTAAATTGTTTAAACAAAAATTGTGTGTGCAACGTTTAAAGGAAGTAGCAATTTTGAAGAAAATTTATTCTCATATTTTTGTTAGTAAAAGTTGTATAATAAAAACTAATTGAAAACACTTATAGTGTTACAAAAATAATTGCAACAATGAAAATCGAAATGTTAAAAAAAAAAAATTCACCAAAATAATTAAAAAAAAAATAAAAATTTTTTTTGTAAAGTTGCACTTTTATAGCTATATAAATTTTAGTATAATAAAGTTCATTTTTTATGTAGCACGTTGATTTTTAATATGCTTTTAGCTGACACTTCGAGCACCTTTATTTACATATATATGTAAGTATATGGAAGAAAATGGCTAGTACGATAATAACATCGGTTAAAAAGCGAAGGTTCTGAACTGTTCTGCACAGCAAATGGTAGTTTGAGACCACTGTGAGCCGTGAGGTTCTGGAAATCGCAATGCTACGTTATAGTTTAGTTCCACCAAGCTTTAACTGCAGTTTATGCCTATTGGAAAACGCAGATTACAACTCGAAAGGGGTAATTCCACCTATTAAGTAGAAGCGAACGAGAGAAAAAAGCAAAAGTTAAGAACCCCCTTGGTGCTTTTTTGAGCTCGTAACTGCAGTTAAACCTTTGGTGGAAACACTGGGTTAGTAGAGTCTTTAAACGAATACGAACGGGTGTACCCACAAATATCATCAGCGTCTTTAAAACATACAATTAAAGCCTCAAAACTCGATTTATAGACTCTATTCGTCAGGGTTCAACATTTTTTCATAACTAAAGCGATTTGAATTTTGTACAACTTAAAATTGTAAAGTTCACACAGCGAAATTTAAAATGCGTTTTTCATCTCAAAAATAGCTTTCAAACATATTTTTGAATTCCATATTTTTAGTGTACGGTGAACTTGTACTATTAGTTTTATTCAAAGCGTGTATATCTACATCTGTACTCTGGTATATACGTACTTACATACGCACGTATGTACATATGTATGTATGTAGCCATCGATATGTGCAACCAACTCTTGTGATAGTCTCACAACAAAACCATTGTTGGTTGGCACAGCGATCCATCACAATCATTTGTATGCCCTGCAAATGTTGCGTATACGACGTGGAATCGCCATTTTGTTCCGTTGATGAAAATGAATGCGCCACACTGCGCTGAGCCGCGTCGTGGTGTTGATGTGGCAAGCAATGGCGCATATGTTGCAAGTGCATGCGTGTGTGCAAGTGAATCGTCAAATTGCATAATAAATGACTGCTGTGCTGTTTTGCAAATGCATATTGCCATTGCTGTTGTTGCCGTTGTCGTTATTGCTTTTCGTGTCCATATGCTAAATCAGCGGGCAAGCGGCAAGCTTGACTGCAACTGTTCTATTGTCTAATTGTAGTTGTTGTTGCATATGATCTTTGGTGCTGTTTAAGTGCAACAATCGGCACATAACTATGCACATATGTATTTGGCACTGAAACGCCTTAATTTGCAGCGGGATTGACAGAAAGGGGTCTAAGGGGAATTTTTTTATTACTTATTTCATAAAGCTTTCAACAACCGAAAGAAATCTTTAGGGTTGACGTCTGATGTGAATGACATGTTTTTGAAATCAATTTTTTACATTTATGTAGGTGGCAACTCTATAAAATGTTTTTTTACTAATATTTTACTAAGCGGTATATTCGGCTAATACTCATATTGTCATAAATTTACGTATGGTGGCAACCCTGTTAAGAAATTTAGCTGCTTTAAACTTTCAACATAGTCTTTTCAGTTTAATATCCATATTTTGTAAGTTCTTCTAAAAAATTTTTTTTACCTTTGTCAAACTTTATACTAAGGCTGAAAGCTCTATCCGGTTTTTTAATTATCCGAATAATCCGGATTTCAAATATTTGGATATGTGATTAAAAATCTGAATTTCGGGAAATTAGGTTAACAAAATTAACGGATATTGGCCGGATATTATCCGAATATTAACCCATTATTAACGGGATATTCAAATGACAAATTTAGAACGGATCTTAACCGGATATCTGGATTTTAGCATATGCGAATATCCAAACAAACGGAGAGTCCTAGCCCCACTTTATACCTTTGCCGAGCTTCTTCAATCATATTTTGACCTCTATTTCCGCAACCCGCTGAGATATATGTACATATCATCACCTTAATTCACAAAGGTCCTAACCAGCATTTTTTTTTTTACAGGAGAAAAAAAATATTATGAAAATCGAATCATATGTACATACGGATAGAGCATTTTAAAAACTGGCGTAACTCCTTGGTTTTTGGACTAACACCTACAAATTTTTAGTGGAGGTGTATTTTAATATATCCTAACAAAATCTGTGAAAATCGCAGTTTCGAAAAAAGTGTTGGTTAGGACCATTGCGAATTTGGGCTCTCTTCTTAACAGCTCCTCCATGTTCAACTACGCTTATCACTACCTAGCGATCCTGTTACTGCAAACAAAACCTTCGTTGCACACACTAAGGCACTAAAGTTCTAGTAGTATTAGTTGTTGCTATTGGAGAAACGCAATTATACAACAAAGCCAGTTATGCCAATTTAAATGGACATTCATGCAACACTACAACAGCAACTAGCTATGGCAGCAACGTACGCAATTTCAACTATGCCAAACCTCCTCATCAACCTCAATCCACCAGCCATTAGCCAGCTGCCACTAGGGCCAGCCACAAATGCTGAGGTTAACCGATTCGCTGGGACGCCTGGCAATGGCTATCAGGTGGCTTGGTTATTGTGCGGCTAATGCAATTAATATTTATAAATTTACGCGCACGCAGAAGGAATATGCAGTTCAGCAACAAGCTATGCAAACACACACTCATTGTTAGAGGAAATTGCAAATTTCTAATTCACCGCCATAACCAAGTGCTGGTGTAAGCGCATTTTGCCGCTTAGCTTCGCATTCACTCAAATTATACTCGTAGCTAGCACCTTTTCTTGTCGTTTTGTCTTTGTATTTCTCCTACATTCATCATGTTTAACGCTTTCCCTTAATTAATGACTTTTCTCTCTTCCTCCCTTCTCTCTCTTCACAGGCACTTCACAATTCATGTACGTCGAATTTGTCACCTCACCCGCCGGTCCTCTACTCAACACTGGCTTCCATTTCAATGTCGGCAATTGGCCGGGCCATGTGGAGACGGCGGGCATTAAGCATGGCATTTGCGATTGGTTGCTCAGCTCAGACTCGCTGAAGGATAGCAGCGCTAGTGAGGGTATATTTTTGAGTATCGCTCATTGGTATCCACCGAATACGTCGTGCAGTTATCACATCAAAGGACGTACGGGCGAAATTGTGCGACTCTATTTTCCAAGGTAAGTACGTGCAATGGTAGTGGATGAAGGTAGACAGTGCGTATGAGTGATATTAAAAGGGCTTTCAAATTAATTAAAGGGTGCATGATTCGCAAAAGAAATTGGTTATTTATTTTGAATTTAGTTAAATTTGTTTAAGTTTTGCATAGTTTTGCATTGATATGCACGTTTAACCCTCTTGGGGCCATAAGCCTATAATTGGAAAAGCTCGAGATTTGAATATAAAAAACGAGGGCTAAATAAAAAATGCTCATATTAAAACAAAATTCAACACAAGAAATATTGAAAATTTTATCGCATTTGACATCGATTTTGTTATCCATTATATATCAATTTATCGATTTTGTTGTCAATTTTGTTGTCGATTTTGTTATCGACTTTGTTATCGATTATATGTCGATATTTTTATTGATTTCGTTACCGATATTTTTATCTATATTTTTATATATTGTATAATATATTTTCACTATCGATTATTTATCGATTTTGTTATGGGTATTTTTATAGATTTTGTTGTCGATATTTTTATCGTTTTTTTGATCGGTTTTGCTACAAATATTATTATCAATTTTGCTATAGACATTTTTATCAATTTGTCGTCGATTTTGTTATCGATATTTTTATCGGTTTTGTTATCGGTGTTTTGTTGGATGTTACTATCGCTTTTGTTATCTATAGAGTATAAAGATAAAAATAAAGATAAAGGAAAACAGAATTACATAAATGTAATTAGAACGAACAGGGGATCTAGATACAAAAATACACAAAATATAGCCTTAGGCAAAAGCATATGTATGTATGTACATTAGAGAGGTCAAAAAAAATAAAGTCGGAGTTTTAATGCCGGCACACACTAGGATTGATCT